TCTTCCGCCGATCCAAATACCCGCCCATACCATGATGGTTCCACCACTATAAGGATGGACTTCCTGGCAGGATTTTAATCGCTGTTGGCGTCCAGGGGTTCTCCAGTGTCGTATACGTCTTGTATCCGGTCTCATACCAAAACGAGACTCATCAGAAAAGCACACGAAACGCCATTGTTCTTCTGCCCAATTTCTGTGTTCAAGAGCCCATTGATATCGAATCCTACGATTGTGCATTGCTATAGGTGGTACCCGTAGCGGTCTTCGGGAATGAAGGTTCACTTCATGCAAGCGGTTTCTGACTGTTTGGTCGCTAATTAAGTTCCCTGAAGAGTGATGAAGCCTCACGGCTAACATCATGGCGGTTATTGTTGGAGCTCTTCGAGTTAAGATTTGAATGTATCGGTCTTGTCTCCGTGTGGTGCAGCGATACCGTCCTCCATGGCGCTCAGCCACGGTACCAGTGCTTCGGTATCGTGTCCAAAGTCGACTGATAACACTCTGACTTGTATTCAGAGCTAAAGCCACAGTACGTTGCCGGGAACCAGCTTCTATCATTCCCACGGCTCTGAGCATTTCTTCCCTGCTTAAATGACGTCGCCGCTCCATAATAACGTTGGTTTTAATCAGTAGTAGGGAAACAGTAGCACTAATAATGTCTTCAATGCGTTGTATGTTTTTATAGGGAAAATATTGACAGCTGATTTTCATCTTTTACTCGAATTTGATTCACAGTTCCTGATTCAAATTATGAAATGCACCAAAAAGGATCCATATAAATTTATAAAATCATAAATTTATTACAAAGCCACATCTCAATCTCAAGAAATCCGCATAAAAATGCTTGATCCCTAGACACTTTTGATGTGTGTATATATATTAATAGAGTAATAATAATTATGTATTTTAATCTATACATATAATAAAATAGTAGGAAAGTCAAAACTGTACATTGATTATTTTTTTAAAAGAATACTTGGAGTGTGATCTACAATCGATACCGAAGCCAAAAATATAGTTTTTAGTATTTTTGTCCGTTTGCCTGTATGTATGTCCGGGATAAACTCAAAAAGTACTGCATAAATTTACTTCAAATTTGGCACGAATATTAGTAAGAACGACTTCTTACTAATATCTAGTCAACAGTGAACCTTTATTTCTAACTCCACGCGTACGAAGTCGCAGGCGGCCGCTAGTTTTCTATATCTGTTATCCGAGAAGCCTGCGCTGCGTTAAGCGGGAGCACGGAACGGGCGTCCGCTCGTCGTGCATTCTTTATGTCATTTGTAATTTCTTAGATTGGTGCGGCACGGGAGACCCGCCTCACGCAGCACCGCTCGCGCTGTATGAAATAACATGAAACAAACACGCGGAGCAAACGCCCGCTCCGTGCACCCGCTTAACTTAGCGCAGGCTCTTATAAACTATTAAGCTTTTTTTGTATCTGTTAACTGACTTCAAATTAGGAGGAGGTTCTTAATTTCGGTCTTCTTTTGTTTCGGTTATATAATCGTTAATTCAAACAAAAATTTAAAGATTTATTTACTGATAAGCGGTGCGAAGTTCGCCGGGTCACCTAATTTGATTATATACTTACGAATTGAGTGAGACCTCCACCTTTTCAATAGAAGAATATATTAAGTACAAATATTTATACACCGTGAATTTTGGGTTTTACCTGAGAAACTTTACTAGCTAATTCTGACAATGATTTAGATTAAATTCCCGCATAAAAAAAATCTGAATTTTTTGGAAAATGATTTTTCTCTATTTCTTTAATTATGAAACCTTAACTATTTTAACTGGTATAAATTGATTCGAAAAGCACTTTTTTATTATCTACGTACTTTAAACGGATAATAATTCCATTATAGTTATAAGTTAGTGCCGTTTTACGATATTTCGTAAACGATATATATGGGGGTGTAGTACGTTTGTTTAATGTTTATAACTGTTCGCACTTTGTTTATTTACACGATTTTTAAATTTCTCGTGTAACTCAAAATTTACAGTGTAGACAGAATAGACTTGCCGTAAGAAAGTCAATACGGATATTCATATTATAATATATCCATCCCGAGCAGTCACACGCTGCTTCTTGTCACCAAACCTACACACCAAACCACTGCACAGTCGGTATGATCCGAGAAATATGGCGGCCCGGCTGGTCGTTAACAATTTATCGGGTGCAGTAAATATTGCCAGTTCCGCTTACTCGATACTTCTATTGGGGATTGCGGTCTGATATATGTCACGCCACTTCTAATATATTACGGTAAATTTCTTTTTACCGCGTTGTTTGTGATTTTTTTTGCATACGTAGCATTACAAATTACTCCTGTTTACCTGATTGTGTGATTGTGTGCGAATTGCGATTAATGCAATGTGAAATTTTAAAAGTTGGCTAGTGCGATTGCGGGTATAAAGGTGTGGTTTGACGGCGTGCCTTGTCGCTAGCGCGGCTGATCTGCGCTGGGTTGCCAAACGTATGAGAACTCTAACTTTTGAAATTAAGCAGTTTCTATACATGATACGAGGTAAATAGAAATCTTGTACACTTTGTGATGGAATAATAAAGCTGTACTTACTGAGTCGATTCTTTGTGGACTGGACATTTATTTACTTTCTTATAATATTTTTGGTTTACATACATGACACAAACAGTAAACACACGCCGTCGGACCACACCTTAAGGAATATTCGCTGAGCGCCATTTGCATCAACATTCATAAATCAAAATAAGGCTTAGTTTCATTGAACCTGTGTTCTTGTTCTGAGTGTTTAACACGTTATTCCATCTTTGTCGAACGTTTAAAGTCAAATAATAGGGATAGAATGAGGTTGAAAAATGAGTATGGTTTAAAATTTGCTTTAACAACTTTCGTGCAAGTAATTCTGAGTCTGTAAGGTCAAGGATACTTACTTCCTGAGACGGGTCGCGCTCTAACTAAAAGAGAGTTTATTTAAAGAGAGGTATGGCATTGCGGATATTACGCTCGAGTCGGAACGCCAGTCTAGAGAACAACCTTACTACTTACACTTCTCCCACACCGGTACGAGAAGCTGTGGTTCTAAAATGCGCAAAATTCGAATTAGTTCCAGTGAAAGAGCGTTCCTTCTGCTGCAACTAAAAAAATATACAACCTCTATTATACGTGCATAAAATCGCCAGACAAGCTATCGTCTAGAGTCTATAAACACGCAGCCCAAGTAGCTAATAGGGGAGATGACGGGGTTCAGTAAACGAAATTCTATTTAATCCGTCAGTTAGATAATCAAAAAATAATGGATACGTATTTTTTCTTTGGGCAATCAACCAAAAATGACAAAGTTATAGTAGTCAAAGTTTGGGAGTACGGGCTCGTGACGTCACATTTAAGTGAAAATTGTTTTTGAAAAAACTTTTCAAATCAATATATCTCTGCAATGTTTATATTGTGTGAAAAAAGAAAAAATACATGTCCAATACTTTTTGATAATCTACCTGATAAACGAAGCAAAAAAAATAGTCATCATCCCTATTCATTGCGATAGAATTTAGCTTATTTAGTACCAAAGCCTTGTCGCGCATGTATGGAATAAGCATTACAGAACACCACGATAATAGAAGACTACTTTATGGTGGTGTTATGTTTGTGGTGGTGAGGATTCCAGGGCTCCACAGAGCTGGGGATTGGGTTGAGGCCTGCAAGGTGAAGGTGTCTTTGTGGCTGGGACGGCACAATTTTCTACCGCATCAGCTATCCTCGCGACTGTTGTATATAAGTAACTTATATAAGTTGAATAACTTACACTTAACATCAGATAAGAAGGCGTTATATACCGCGTTTTGTTTAAAAAAAAACCTCCTATAGGTAAGTCATAAAGAATATTTCAGGCAACCGTGGGTGCGCATCTACATTTACTCAATACCTCATGTCATCTACATTTACAACTCAAATCGAAAAGGCCAGAGACATTTTTACCAATCCGAACAAAAAACAACACAGCTATTCATTAGTTTTCTCTGTGCGAAAACAAAAGAACGGCAGTGTTGTTTAATAAGGTCAAAACTCTCAAACCTCTACTGAGACTATAATAACTATAAGATAAATATAACTATAAGACTACAATAAGTTTAGTGAGAACAAAAAAAAAGTTTTATAAAAAGACGTGGTGAATAATTGTAATAAACTATAATTATTTAATTAAATGGCAACTGACGTAAAAAAACATCTAACGCCGTCTGGCGAGTGAACTTATAAAAAAAGTGAAAATATACAGTGACACACGCGCCGTGCGTTCGTAGGGTGACAACACAATCAGATTCAGTTTCATAACACGTTTCATTTTTCAAATCTCATTTTATAAAATGAACTAATATGAAATTTTTAATCATCGAATGTGTCAGCTTGGTATAGAATGCGTAAATCAAACCATTAAGATATATAAACATCCTTAGATTTTTGTCCTGTCGTTATTTCGTTATTTTAGACACCACGAGATGGGTGCTATAGTTGTGCTGACCTTTAGCGAAAAATAACGCCCTCTATTAAACCGACTTAATTAACATTTTCCTATTTTTAGGACAGATAACACTTTTATTGTTGTATAAAACAAGATATTTATACGTTACTCCTACTTTTATTTAACGATTTGATGATTATTTTTTGTTTGCATCAGAGAATGCTGCCTAAATGCCTATTCTTATATAGCTGATATTTCTCCAGTTTTAGTTAATAAGAAAAACTTTTTTAACAGAAATAAATGCGATTTTATCAAAAATTAAACAACCTTGCGTTTATACGTAAGGTTGTTTAATAAATTATGTATATTTAAAGTAAGTTTGGAGTTAAAAGTAATTTATTTCATTAGTTTATTAAGAAGGTATAAGTATCTTTACAATATTAAAATTGAGCCCTCAAACTAAGTAACAGGGTCAACTACAGCAATAAATCAACTTTTTTGGTGTCTATTAATGGTTTACATAGCTGGTGTCTCTACTCGACGCAAGAGGTAAAGGTTTTGCAATCGGCCAGTGAAAGTCGGATACTGCAGCCTCCAGAGCCCAACATTACCTATTGCGTGAGAGTTAACGGTACCTGTCACACGGATAACATGGTGAGTTTAAAAAAAAGTTTATTTGTATTGTTCCGTTTTGTTTTCGAGTTCGTTGATTGTTATGAATTTGCAAAGACTGCTGTTTCATACAACATCATCTGGCCGATTGGATTTATCATATTTCTGTCATAAACATTGTATTATAATTATGTTTTATTATTGTGTTCACATCACGGGAAAAAAATAATTTGTGTACCTGAAATTGTTCATCTGGTCCGAATTGAAAGATTTTAATTAGCAAGGGAAGACGTATCTACTACCTAACATGATTTATGCAAAATGCCTATAGACTTATTAAAATTCACTGAACAGTATCGCTATGTTCGTTATTGTGAATAAATTAATTTTGAATAGTATATATGCCCGCAGACGATAGACATAAATACTAGATGTATTAGAACTAAAAATCGAAATCAGTTTATTCAGTCTAGGCCGTTACAAGCACTTGTGAATGTCGAAAAGTTACGCCATCGGTTTGCACATCTAGGGCGGGAGACCTTGTACTGAAAAGAACCGGCATAAAACTCAGCAAGGGCTGTTTTTCTCCTGTATATATACAGAGTCGTCAAATAGTTGTAGTAACAACTTTTTGAGTGACGTACCCATTATAAAATTATATTATTATTAACTATAAATAGCTGAGTCTAACCCGGTCATGTGTGATGTTGCTGCTGCTGCTGCTATTGTCCTACAATTTGATCAATAAACATTTGATCTGATCAGAAAAATATATTAAGGTAATAATCGAAATAAATACTAACATATCATCGTTTAAATTGCACTTACCAAATTTCACAGAGAGCCATATTCGATCAAGATTATTAGTATCAAAGTTTATCGATGACAAATATCGTGACATATGATTTAGTATGTTACTTATATGTAGCCAACTTTGATTCATTAGTGTTGAGGTGTAAAATCAAACTTGTATGTAAAACTATTTTTCCTGCATTACTCGTTTAAATAATGTAATTTCATTTCTCTACCAGAGCAGTTCGATCACTTGAACATGATACTTGGTAATCAGTAAAATCTATTTAAACTACTTTAATATATTGAACAGATGAACTCGCGTTATTTTACAGGGTGCGTCGCAGAGTGAGCCTGCGCAGGCGCCGGTTAACAAACAAGACTTGGTGGCCAGGATCAAGGCTCGGCTGGCGACCTTCGACCCGAAGGTAGCCAAGGAACTCGGCGGTGTCTTCCTGTTTAACATAATCAAAGGCACTTCTGTACACAGTTGGAGTAAGTTTTTTTTTTCTTAAAGCAAACGACAAAACATTTGCAGCCTAAAAGTGGAAAGTTTCTAAAAAGCTTCCAGTGATTGACTTGTTGAAGATAAATTCGTTTGGCTTTAACTCAAACATGAACATGGCTGATTGGAAAGATCCTTTTACAGGCGTACGATGTTTTTATTCTACTATAACTTGATACATGTATAGGTAAATTTAATCCGATATAAACATTAGTTGAATATTACTGGTATAATAAAAATAAACGGATGCCTGTATTGTTTGATAATGCGGATTTTAATAGTTATGTTTTAAACTTTGCTGAATGCGCCACAGTAACATAAATAGTCAGCAATAAGAATCAAAACCGGAAATTGATTGATGGCGATTTGATCACTTCGATACCATACTTGGTGCGGTATTAAGCTACGATGATAAAATTTAAGACAAAATTATGTACTCAAACGTTTTCGACAATAAATGGTAAAGTCATTAGAAAGTTTTGTTACTGGCAATATTTTTTTATTTGCATATTATAGAGGTACTTTTACCATTATCTATGCATTGGTATATTAGTAACACAATATGGTGGCCGCTGACCTCATAATTAATACTTACTACGAGTATAAACATGTTTACGTATACTTTTATAATGTATTCTAGAAGCCCTATGAATAAGATGACCAGTACCCCTAGCACGAACCAATATCGAATTCGTATCGTTTGCGAGTCTGCAATGTCTTTGTCAAATTTGTACTGATTTTTAGTGCTCGTTACGTACGTAAAGGCGCTGCTGTTCGAGTGTCCATACAAAATTTGACTATGACATTTCGGACTAGCAAACTATTCAAATTCGATATTGGTTCGTGCGAGGGGTACAGTACCCTTAGCACGAACCAATATCGAATTCGTATTGAATGCGAGTACGAAATGTCATTGTCAAATATGTACTGATTTAAAAATCATATATCTAAAGTTCTAGTTACGTCTTTGTGGCGCTGTTGTTCAAGTTTCCATACAAAATTTGACATCCGGCCGCCCTGTAGTCCACCCCACAGAAAATTCTATGTATCTTAGTCCGGTCGACTGCCGCGAGGTCAAATTAATCATAAAAAACCTAAAAAGTTATGGAGTGGATAAGTTGCCATCTAGTTTGGTTAGAGAGTGCGCCGAAGAATTGGCTCTGCCATTTAGTTTGTTAATAAACCAATCATTTAGTGAAGGTGTTTTTCTGATTTACTGAAAAATATAGTGGGGTACAGTACCCCTAGCACGAACCAACATCGAATTCGTATCGTTTGCAAGTCCGAAATGTCGTTGTCAAATGTGTAAGTACTATTTTTAGTTCTCGTTACGTACTTTGTGCCGCTGCTGTTCAAGTTTCTATACAAAATTTGACATTGAAATTTCAGTTTGCAAACTATTCGGATTCGATAATGGTTCGTGCTAGGGGTAGTGTTCACAAGAAAAATGATATAACTAATCCTAGTAATTATAGACCTTTTACCATTTTACCTACAGCATCAAAAAATTTTCAGAAAGCAATGAGTGATTGAGTTATGTTTTTTTTTTAATACCAAATATTTGATGATTCCCCAAATGATTTACGTAAAAATCGTTCCACAATATTAGCCGTAAATAAGTACATACAAAGAGTCGTTACATTATTGAACAATAAACAGTACGGTGTAGGTATCCTGTTAGATAATTACTTTCCATCAACACTAGAGAACTCAACTAAACGTAAATTACATCTAGAACGGTATAAGACTGGATCGTGTGGAGTTCACATTATTGGATATAGTGATAGATAGAGGCTCCTCACATGGAAAGCCCACATACAAAAAATAAAATCATAACTGTCTAGCTTTTCTTATGCGCTACGCGAGGTAAAAAAGGCGACTGTTAGAGAAACAACTATAGTTACATTTACGCTTACGCCCATGCTTGGCTGTGTTACGGGGTAGTTTTGTGGGGTAACAGTACGGACGCGCATTTGCTGCTTAACATGCAAAAAAGGTTGATCCGTATCATAGCCTTTAGCCAACATCGAGCAGACTGAGAGCTGTACCCTTAGCACGAACCAATGTCGAATTCGTAACGTTTGCGAGCGAAATGTCATTGTCAAATGTGTACTGATTTTTAGTTCTCGTTACGTACTTTGTGGCGCTGCTGTTCAAGTTTCCATACAAAATTTGACATTGGTATTTAGCAGTCACAAACTATTCGAATTCGATATTGGTTCATGCTAGGGGCTACTGTAGACCATATTTTCAAGAGTATCGGATTCTTCCTCTACCGTGTTTGTATATTTCGGAAATGTGCAAATTTGTACAAAATCATAGCGAATTCTACACTAGACGACAAGACATTCCATCTAAATACACATCTCTACACAAAAATAAATTAATATTGCCTAGTTCTAGACTAAAACTATCATTATCAAACACATTTAATTCATCTATTAAATAACAAATTGCCTAATACAATAATAAATGAAAATAATTACTTGACATTTATAAATATGTTAAAGGAATTTCTAATTAAGAAATGTTATTATAATGTAAATTAATATTTTAATGATAAAAATCAGTTATTATTAATATACATATTTTTTATATAATTAAATCAGATAAGATAATCTAAATAATAATACAATTATCACAATCAAAATTAAACATATGAAACAATCTCTATTTTCCAATTATAATTTTAGTGTTAGTGTTGTTCATTTGGGAAGCGCATACTCTCTTCTAATAACCAATTGCGTGCCCGACGGTCCATAATGCTCATGTATAAATAAGTACCCACTGTACATGTTATAGTTGCAATAAATGATTTGAGTTTGCGTTAAAATGACTCTGGACATTATGAAACATTTTAGGATTAAATACGTATTACGTATATATACTGAAAGGTTGACAACAGACAAAACACGGTAACTACATATATAGAGCATAGAATACCGGAAGGATTATATACATATATATATTATCCCTATTTATTCGATATTGGTATAAAAAAAGAGTATTTTAAACAGTATGTTGTAGATTTTATAAATTCACATAATATTTCAGAGAATGAAAATCAATAATATTTATTAACATTCTGCTGAGCCATCTCTTCAAGTTGGCTTTGATAGTAATTACGAATCGTCTCACTTGTAAGTTCGATGCACAGAATTAAAAGGAAATAGATATCGCAAGTGTATGTACATATTTCGCCTGCTAAAACATGTGGAAGGGGTGACTAAAGGTCCTCCTCTAACGCAATTTTATTTAGCAGCATTGACTTAATATACTTTGGTAGCCACTACGCATCAGGCTAATTATAAGCTCGTATGCCACAATTTTTAACTAAAAACTAAGTCTTTATAGGTATAACCGGGAGAAGTTTGCTCATTTCTTGTTATCCAATCAAATTAAATGAACTTCAAAAAATTGTTACAGCTCTAGACCTAAACAACGCACAAGTATACGAAGGCGAACCAGAGGAGGACCCCGATACCACTTTCACGTTAAACGAACATTACTTCAAACAAATGGTGTTGGGCAAAGAAGACGCCCGGACTATTATGCAAGCTGGCCGCTGCTCCGTAACTGGTGATATCATGAGGGCGATGAAGCTTGAACCTTACATCAAACTGGAATGACGCGGGTAGTCCTATAGTCCTATGAACCTTATATTAATTTGGAATAACGCCGGTAGTCCTATAGTCCTATGAACCTTATATCCAACTGGAATAACGCCGGTAGTCCTATGAACCTTATATCAATTTGGAATAACGCCGGTAGTCATATAGTCCTACGAACCTTATATCCAACTGGAATAACGCCGGTAGTCCTATGACCCTTATATCAAACTGGAATAACGCCGGTATTCCTATGAACCTTATATCAAACTGAAATAACGTCAGAAGTCCTATGGGCCTGATAGCAAACTAGAATAACGTTAGGATCACTATAGTTAGCGTTGCCATCCGTTTGAATAATTCCGGACAATTTAGGCTTTTTCATCTCTTGTCCGAGCCAAATTGAACTTCGTTCGGCCTATCCGGCTTTTTAGGCTTCTTTTCTTTTGACGGAAGCAAGCCGCACGCTTCACTCTACCCGAGTTCGCCCGTTCCTCCTTCCATTTTTTCAGCGTCCGTCCGGCCGTTGCCGATTTTAAGAGAGAGCAACGCTACCTGTAGTCCTGTAGAATGAATTGTTATTAGAAGCCTATAAAATGTACTTGCTGGTCATGGTAAGTCGATCCACCCGTTGTTGATTTAAAAAAAATAACACAAAACGCTGTCTTTAATAATTTGTATTAGTTTCAGTTAAGTATTTAATTAGGTAGTAATAAGTGTTTTTGTTTTTATTATAAGAGAAAAAACTGGATCAGTATGGAATTTTAAGGGCTAAATTCACCTTAACTTAGTTTACTACAGTGCTACTGAATTATTAATTATGGAGTTATGTGTTAATTTTAAGTTATTTCTGTGATCACAAAAACTGGGAACAATGAAAGTTTTAATGATAGTTCAAAAAGTAATGTTTGCAGTTTCACTTGATGTTTTATATTATCGTTACGAAATGTATAATTAATTATAAAAAGGTTTTTTTTACTTTACTCATAAATGAAATTGGTTATTATAAGCAAAAGAATATAAGTATTAAAAATCGGTCAAAAGTACAAAAAAATCATGTTTCTGAGACTAACAATTTCTTGGATACAGAATAAGACAACACACACAACACAACAAGAATTAATAAACTGTTAAACAGAATTTTAGAAATGGAAATACTCTTTTATTATCTGTACTATAAAGATTAAGAAACAAGTACTCGATTCTTTATTAAATTGTAAAATAATTTAATGTTCAACTTATTTATATTATTAAATAAAACTAGTTTTTACGGGTTAATGCACGAAACTTTATTTATTTATTGATGTTTCGCAGCCTTTTCAGGTCTGCATCGTCAGAATAATGCAGACCTGAAAAGGCTGCGAAACGTCAATAAATAAATAAAGTTTCGTGCATTAACCCGTAAAAACTAGTTTTATTTAATGAGTGATGTGCGTGAAAACCTAAGAAACAATTATTTATATTATCTTGTATTTTCATACACCGTGAATTTTGAGTTACCTAAGAGACCTCACAATCGTGTAAATAAAAATAGTGCGAACAATTATAAACAATAAACGTACTACACCCCCATACAAAAATATTGATTTATTATATCGCAAACAAAATTTCCTAAAACGGCGCAAAGAAACCTATTATGGCATTTTTGTCCGTTCAAAGTATGTAGATCCTAAAAGCAGATTTATTTTAATTTAAATCAATTTATGGCAGTTAAAATTTGTTAAGGTTGCATAATTGCACGATTAGTGAATTAGCGTGGAGACAATTTTCGATAAAAATGTTAAAGAAAAAATTACTTAAACAAGGAAATATAACCTTGATAGTTGTCTGAATTAGCTGGTATTTTTGTTTAAAGTAACTCAAAATTCTCGGTGTATAGTGTTTTTTTTATGTCTAATGAAACATCTTATGCAAAGCATATTGTGAAATTTCTATTTCATATCTTTTTCTTAAATGTGCTTTTATTCAAAGTACATACCTATATATTTATTTTATTGAAAAAAAAAAAGAAAAAAAAGATGCGTAGAAACGCATCTATTTAGATTCTGGTAGCGAACCAGTGAATACAGGTAGATCCAGTGTATTCGCCCGGATAGCGACGGTCACTGGTTCGAATCCGGTCTGGTACCTGGAAAGAGTTGTTTTTTTTGTGTGTAGGTACCTTCCTAGTAAACAAACAAAATGGCTCAAACCATGGTACCAAATAAATATGAGGTACCTCGCTTTCTAAGATTGTAGAGATAACGAATATTTACCAGATAACACCTTTCATGTGTTCTTTAAATTTTCTTCTCATGTGATAGCAATATTGTCACTAGCTTTTAGAATTGCTTTTTTATGTTATTTTTACCTTCATAAGCTGTTAGCTGTCCTAAGGTAATAAATAATGTATTATATTTTTAACAATAAAATTATTGCATTTAGACCTAAAGTAATAAAAATATTACTGTAAATAAATATACATAAAATGTAAAATAAGTACATAATTCTTTTTATTTGTTACCTTTTATTAACTTTCGTGACTTCAGGATTAAGTTGGTCGAATTTTAGTAGTAATAAGTTAAGACAGTGATGGTATTTACTGTTATATTGTGGAAGAGGAAATATAGTTATTATAATTACAATTTTAGATTATAATTAATTACCTCTATCATTATTTTTATCAGGATATTTCTTTCCTTCTACAGACTTCAATAGAAGGTTATGAATTTATTTGACCAACGATTGTTCTTCCTTAGGCATAAAAATTAAGTATATATGTATTAATCAAATATTAATAGTGAGACAACTTAAAAGTTATCCCTGCATTCAACACGATTTTATGAAAAAAAAATAGATACAAACTTACATGGTTTAAAACAATAGTCCAACCATAAGTTTAAGATTAAACTAACAAAACAGCAATATATTATATATATCATATGGCGAATGCATGTGTCGTTGTATGATTTAATATATCGAATATTCGCTAAAATCCTAGGGATTTTGAATAATGGTGATGTTAAAATTGGCCTGAGAACCAACACCAATTTGGCATTTATGATAATTATTAGTTTATTTTTTGCGATAATTATCAGTATTTAGATTGTCACGGACACTTCCAGTTAAGTAAGCTAAATTAAAAAATTAAAAAATAATCTGAGACAATAAATATCATTTTATGTGTATAATCTATGGCAGCGCTGCAAACAAAACACTCGATCTTCCTAATGCCGGCACTTCACTTGGCTATTCGTCTTTGCTATTTTAAAACATGACATCAGTCTGTCCTTTTCATTCCTTATTAAGCATGACAAGGACAAACTGTTGTCAAGTGAAGGGCCGGCATAAGGCTTGTTACTCTGTGGTTGTGGTGCATGCTGTTTGCATTCGTAGTAATCTGTGGCATTCGTGCATTCCAAAGAGTAGTTTAATATACCGGAAAGTGCATTCTCGTTTCGGATTACCTGTTGTGTGTGTTTATTTGCGATTGCTTTTCCTATAATTTAACTATTTCGGCTATCTAATATGCCATCGATGTTACCAAAGAGCAGAGCCCTTATTAACAAGTGCTAGTGAACCTGTGCCACAACATCATTAAAGGATCATACTGCCAAATTATTCAAGAACACCTAATACACATTTACGCTGCATATTTACACAATATACATGTGATATACAAAAAAATACAATAAACAATATGATACAATTATGTGAAAAATAGTCAATAAATAAGAAGCAAAACTACAGTTTTTATTTTCTACCTAACCAAGTTTTTCCTAACAGTTATTCTTTAAAATCGCACCGAATAAAATGAATTAGTTGTAATATTAATTCACTTTATACTGAGTCATACTAAATTCATAGGTTGACCTATGTTTCATTGAATATTAAACATAACCTCAAAAGAGTTTTAGTTTTCCTAATAATTTAAGTTCTTAGAAGTGTCCGTCAATAATCTTTGTTTTTACAGTCATTTACTTACGATCTTGAACCTAGAAAATAATATTTCATGATTGTTGGTTCTTAGGCTAACTATGTATGGACGCTGAACAATGTCCTTTCTGAATCTTAGTGAAAAAAGTAGGATTTTTACGAAAACGCGGGTCGCCTTAGTCTTATTGCAAAAAGAATCGTTGGCTTAATATAAATATTCTTGGGTTTTTCTTTTTATATTCGTACTAGGTAAGGTTAGTGTTGTGACCATGACGAAAAAAAATCGTTAACAGTAAGATTGAACAATGTCATCGCCATTGTCTATCTGAATGTCTGTCCGTTTTCGCAATCTAGGATACTCGCGAAAATTCGATTAACAAATCATCCTACGACACAAAACGTTTAATTAGGCTGCGTATTGGCATAATCGATGCAATGATATTAATTAGCGCGTTCGGTCTGCGAACTTAAAAAACCAGCCAAGTGTGTGTCGTGCCACGCGCAGTGACGTGTTCCGTAGTTGCTCGTCGTCGCCACAATATAAATAATAAATAAATAAATATTTCCAACACTGACACCAATTAGTAAGATACTAGGGTAACGGATAGAATACATATACAGTACATATATAAGTATATTTATGTAAAAATACATATTAAACATCCATGACTGGAGTACAAATGCTCGTATTCAACACACAAACATATGCCCCCACCGGGATTCGAACCCGGGACCTCTCGAGTCGGCGACACTATGAAACTCGGTGTACAAACCACGGGGAGACGCATCGTACACGAACAAAAATTAGTACTTTTAAGTTCCATATTTCGCAAACGGATCCCGAAATCGAAAAATAGTCTTAGAAACTACTAAATAATTTTTAATGACCTATTCAATGATACCCCACACGATGGGGGTAGACGATGAAAAAATCAAATCAAATCCAGGTTACATGTACGGGAGCTACCCTAAAAATATTTTTAAAAATAACCATATTTCCAAAAATTACAGCACTCTAGTGCTAAGAGTCTCCAAGCAAACCGACATGTCGAAACTATAAGGGTTTCTTGTCAGGACTACGGAACCCTAAAAACTTCGTCCGTCGTTTAAAGTTTTCTTATAAGCAATTTTATTAGGTCAGTATTTTCTATTACATCAATTAAACGACTATTACTATTAAACTAAGAAATCTATTTTAACCGTTATATTTTTCCTTAAAAGTTCATGAAAAGCACTCCTATCATGAATTTTTCCAGGTTTTTCTTTTAGAGGGGGGAGATACTTTAAAGTTCAATATTTCGCAAACGGATACCGAAATCGAAAAATAGTCTTAGGAACCAGTACGTAATTTTAAAGGACCTATTCAATGATAACCCACACAATGGGGTAGACGATGGAAAAATCAAATCAAATCCAGGTTACATGTAGGGGAGCTACCCTGAAAATATATTTTTCAAAATTTTATTCTACCATTTTGTCGGCGTGATCTATACATATTACACTCCACAATATTACAGCTCTCTAGTGCTAATAGTTTCCAAACAAAACCGGGGACGGACAGACGGACATGACGAAACTATAAGGGTTCCTTCTCATGACTACGGAACCCTAAGAAATAGAAATGACCCATAGGATAGGTGACCAAAAAATTATTGTTTGTCGCCGAATGTACTGTGTATGAAAGTGCCTAGAGCGGATTTAGTCGGTCCAGCGTGTCCTTCTTGCTCTTGGTCGCTTTCCCTCAATTTTCTCAGTGGCCATCAATATGTCGAGGTTACTGATATTTTTTAGGCTATGTTGCCGAAATATTCCTGATTAATTTTCGATTCTATTTGATCGTCGGCAAATGAATTAATTGTATTCAGACGAATTGCAATTACACTTCACTAGCGTGGCTGAACCCGCATTGGTGCCCCAGTTTAAAATGGCGGCCCTACAATCAAAACTAACGGTCAAGTTCCAAACTGTTCATCTGAACATTTAATCGTGCATCAGACACGACATTCGGGTCACACATATCATATCCGATGTAATGGGAATTTGATCAGTTGTCAACATTCGAGATAATGTCGCGAGATGACGACTAGATGGACTGGTTTCTGAACGGTACAGGGGTCATCGCACGACGGTCAAGCAGTCGAGCACCTAAGACCCTGGCTGGCTGGCCATCCCACCGCAAATAGAACGCAATTAAAAATAAAACAAGCTTTTGACCGTATGCATTAGTACCTACACGCGTTAATCTTTTTATTTGTCGTCTCAACATACTTACGCAGAAGCTTTAAGCACAAGGGTAATCGGCGACAAAAATCAAAGTCTATCTTTCGTATTATAAAAAAAAACGAGCGAGCCTTACAGTAGTCGCGTATGATGTGTAACATTTCAAACCTCACCTTA